TAACACCATACTAACTTTTTTCTTAACTGACCACAGACTTGGGGACAGTCTTTGGAATTGGCTTGTTTGCCCAAGGTCCATATTATAACACACATTAAATCCAGTCTACTCTCACTGCTCCATAGCAAGCCAAATCAATCCATCAACTAACAGCAAATCAACTCCAAAAAATACGGAACAACAGAAAGCAACAGGCATGCTGCACTTTCCTTGACCTTTAAACTGATCATAGCCCTGATTGTCTTCCAATTTTGACATGAAATGAACTGGCAATTGTGCATGGAAGACAGGCCTGTACTGAGGCAGCCAAGCAGAGATAGTGCAAGCTGCTTTTTTATAGGGGAGAGGCCAAGACCGACAATTTGATGAGCTCCTACTCCTACCAGGCACTTTCTATATGTTGACTCAAGCCTCACAACTCCATTCATTCATTCACTCACTGACTCAGTTATTCATTCAACCAATATTTATTTGGTGCTCACTCTATGCCAGGCACTGTAGTAGGAGGTGAGCCAGGCAGACAAGGTCTTTGTCCTCATTGAGCTTATGCTCTAGTTGGGAAGACAGATGGCTGCCAAGTAAACAAATAACACATGTGCAAGCATCAGAGGGACTTGTCTTGTTGCCCTGAGCTGAGGACATGAAGGCCTAGTGGAATCCATGATTTAAAGAGAGCACAAAGCAATTGAGGGTCCTGCCTCTGTTTAGGGTCTCAATTCTGGCTGACCATTAGGACTTGGGAAACTTCACACTAACCCTGATGCCTGGGGCCCATCCCAAAGCAACTAAGTCGGAATCTCTGGAGGTGAGGCATTGGAGTTTCTTAAACTTATAATTTTGAAATAATTTTTGAATTTACAGAAGAGTTGCAATGATGTGCAAAGAATTCCTAGACCCGCCAATTTTTTGTACTTCACCATATTTGCTTTATCATTTTCCTTTTCTGTATCTGTCTCTATGTGTATATGCATATATGTGCATGTGCGTTACACATTATTTATTTTGAATCATTTGGGACTAAGCTGCATGTATTTCTTGACTTGTAAAATCTTCAGAACGTATGTTGGGAAAATGGAACAATTTGGTCAGGCTTCCCTGGCCTCAGAGCCCGTTCCATAAACATTGTGTGTGGGTGGGTGGAGTGAGTGCACCAGCATGGCACCACTTTGGCTGGTGTTTACTGCCTCGGGCGCTAGCCCTGTGCAGCCATATTTTTCCAGACCTGCAGTTTCCAAGGGCTGTGTGGCCAGTTACCTAGCTTATAGATCTGTGTGAAGGGGTCTGGTGACCCAACCTGACGTGGAGGGGTCTGGTGACCCAGCCTGGCACGTGAAGGGTTTGCGACCCAGTCTCTGAATGGGCTTGAGGGGTCTGGGAGCTCCAGCCCTAGCTCAACCATTGGCCCAGTCGGTGCAGGATTACCGAGAGGTAAAAGAGCTGTGACAACTAGCATGGTCACCTAGCTTTACAATTGGTGTCACGAACAGGATTAAGAGCTAGACAATTGGCGCTGTGGGCAGGATTCAAGACATTAGCCTTGCAGTAGCCCTTGTCATAGCCAGACAATGTATCTTAAGAATGAGATTTCTTATCTAATTCAAAGACATTGGTCAAAATCAGGAGATTTAATAGTGTTATATACTATTATCTAATATAAAGCCCATATTCAAAGTTTGCTGTCTCATTAATGTCTTTTATAGATTTTCTCCCCCATCCAGGATCCAATCTAGGATCATGCAATGCATTTAACTGTCATGTCTCTTTGGTTTTATTCATTCATTCATTCATTTGCAGCTGGCCAGTATGGGGATCCAAACCCTTGACCTTAGTATGGGGATCCGAACCCTTGATCTTTGTGTTAAAACACCATGCTCTAACCGCCTGAGCTAAATGGCCTGTCCTTTGGTCTCCTTTAACCTTTGTCTTTCTTGACACTAGCATTTTTGAAGAATCACTCCTTTTGTAACATGCCCTTCAATTTGGGTTTTTCTGATGGTTCCTCATGATTACTTTCAAGTTATGAATTTTTGACAGGAATAATCCATAAGTATAAGTAATGTTGTGGCCTTCTCAGCACATCGTATCAGGAGGCACATGATGTCAAATTGTCCCATTATTGGTGATTAATTTTGAGTGCTTGGTTACACTTTGGGGTAACTTGAACTATCTCTCCAAAGCTCCACTCATGAGGGCTGGCCATTGGACAAGGAGACCCCAACAACAAAAGGCTTGGAGTGGATTGGGAGAGGTGGGATCTGGGGGCAGGGATAGAAGAGATAAAGCCAGAGCCAGGTTACACAGTGGGTACTACAACCTATAGTTTCCTCTAAGGAAGAATGCATGTGAAACACACCGAATCAGAGGCCAACATGGGGATGCTCACCCACAGGTCATGGAGGGCCAAGCAGTCTTAGCCAGAGAAGCAGTCACAGCCAAGAGATAATCACAACAGAAAGTGAGGAGATGAAAGCCCCTTTCTACAGGACAAAGAGACCCCGAAGAGGAAGGGGTAGGCAATTCTCTCTCCTGCACCTAACCCCACTGATGCAGGGCAGAGGGGGTGGGTAAGCAATAAATTGGACCTGAGATTGAGACTTTAGACTAGACTTTATGAGATCATAACATACCAAAAAGACATGGAATCCACCCAATATGCCATTAAAGGACTGGAAAGAGAGATTNGTTACACAGTGGGTACTACAACCTATAGTTTCCTCTAAGGAAGAATGCATGTGAAACACACTGAATCAGAGGCCAACATGGGGATGCTCACCCACAGGTCATGGATGGCCAAGCAGTCTTAGCCAGAGAAGCAGTCACAACCAAGAGATAATCACAACAGAAAGTGAGGAGATGAAAGCCCCTTTCTACAGGACAAAGAGACCCCGAAGAGGAAGGGGTAGGCAATTCTCTCTCCTGCACCTAACCCCACTGATGCAGGGCAGAGGGGGGTGGGTAAGCAATAAATTGGACCTGAGATTGAGACTTTAGACTAGACTTTATGAGATCAGAACATACCAAAAAGACATGGAATCCACCCAATATGCCATTAAAGGACTGGAAAGAGAGATTCAAGAGAATAAGGTTGAAGACAGTTTCTGGGTAGAAAATAAAACTTTTTTAGACACCACCATCTTGAGATTTCTCAATAAACTGGTTCCTGGTCCTTCTGGATAGGTAGGCTAGGCTCTGAGGAGGTGATGCCTGGGGCCTGAAGGATGAGAAGGAGGAGTCACAGAAGAGCTGGGGATGGGGATTCAGCAGAAACTGGAATAGAACGTAGAGTCCCAAGATGATCAAGGCATTTGCCTACTGCAAGAAAATAAAAAAGACTGAAGGGGCTGCAGCTTACTTGGGGGGATGGCTACAGGGTAGGATGCAGAGGTGAGAGGACCCAAAGGACAGTCTGTAGCCCACAGAAGCACATATGACTATTTAAAAGATTCCAACAGTTCACCTCTTTCCCTCTAGTCCAAATTTCCAAAGGTAACTACCATTAGTTTCCTTCCAGACCACTTAGACATCTCTGTGTTTCCATGTATATATTTTTTATATGGATGAAAATTTAACATTTCTGCAATTTCATTTTTTCCACTTGAAAATATGTCATAAATGTCCTTCTACATTGTTGGTTAAATACATGATGCTAAATCCATACCATACAGCCATTAAACATCACGATGCCACTCTCTAGTTGTTGACTGGAATGACATTCAGAGTATGTTAAGTGAAAAGGTGGATTATATAACAATGTATACATAATCCCATTTTTAATAAACTACCGTTTTAATAATATATGTTTAGATGCATCTTTTCATCCTGAAAAAGTATAGCAGGATGAACACCGAAACATTAACATCGTGGGATTTCTGTGTTTTTCCCCCTTTATTTGGCTACAGTTTTCTAATTTTTCTATTGTGAATATGTGGTGACTTAAAGTTTAAAAATAAAGAAGAATGAAAGCAAACAGGACAAAATGATGACACTTGTGCATTGACAGGTGATAGGTGCTTGTTAGAGTATTCTTCGTTCTTTGTGTGTGTGTGTTTTCAATTTTTCAAAAAAAGATGTATTAGGGTTCTCCAGAGAAACAGAACCAACAGGAGATTGTATATTTGTAATGTATACTTGTATATAAAGAAAGGTAAAGATTTAAGGATCTTAAATAGATATATGGAAGAGATTTATTATAAGATATTGGCTCATGAAATAACGAAGACTGAGAAGTTCCACTATCTGCCACCTGCAAGCTGGAGACCCAGGAGAGCCAGTGATGAAGTTCAAAGACCTGAGAGCTGGAAAGCTGATGGTGTACATTCCAGCCCAGATCTGAAGGCCTGAGAACCAGGAGCACCAAGGGCAGGAGAACACTAATGTCACAGCTCAAACAATCAGGCAGAATTAACTCAACCTTTCTCCACCTTTTTGTTCTATTTCGACCTTCACCTGACTGAATGGTGCCCACTCACATCGGCTTTACTCGGCCCACCAGTTCAAATGGTAGTCTCTTCCAGAAACACCCTGACAGACACACCCCAAAATATGGTTTTAACCAGCTATCTGGGAATCTCATGGCCCAGTCAAGTTAACACATAAAATCAACCATCACAAAAGGAGAAAAGACATGCCTGAAATACCATTTAAGCTCAGACACTAAATCAACAACTTAGAAAAATAACTACCCATCATATTTAGACATTGTGTTTCCAAAATAATGGGTTATTCTGGATGTCTTGTAGCTTAATAAATAAGCTACACCAGCAGACACTAGGTGGCACTGAATTTGTCCCCGTGGGAGGGAAACGACCATAGAAATGATAAAACATCACCTCTGTTATTCTAGAGCAGAATCTTAATACACAGCTACTTTCCCTAAGCACTGACTGAGTTCCATGCAGACACAAGGACCTTATAAAACCTTAGAAGGCTTCTTTCTTGAGCTTGGAATGAGAATCAGGCTTTCTGTGAATAAACTAAGGACTGTGAATCAAGCAGCTGACCTTTTTGTTCTTGTTTGGCCCAGAAAATTTGGACTCGCTGGTGAATGTGCTTGTCCTCGCGCAGTTTCTTCTGCCACTGACGTAATTCTTGAATCTCAGGGTCGCAGCGAACCTGGAAAATCCGTCAAGCTTTAGTCCCTTTTCTATATATTTCTATACATTAGCTTATTAACTCTGCATGAAAAAATCCTTTACAAATCAATTGGATATACTTTTGATTCTAAATGAATCGTTGTTTTAAATGAATTATCTGTACTCCTAAAGCTCGCATCATATTTGAGCACAGATGAGTTTGTATGAAGATTCTAGGTCTGTCCCATCCAATAGAAATATAATGTAGCCACATGTGTAATTTTAAATTTCCTTGAAGTTTCAAAAGTAAAAATGAGGTGAGATTATTTTTAAGAATATATTTTATTTAACCTAAAATATCTAAAATCTTATCATTTCAACATGTAATCAATATAAAAAATTATTTATGAGATATTTTACTTTCTATTCTCCATGCTAAGTCTCCAACACATGGTGCATTTTTACCCTTACAACGCATCTCGATTTGGACTAGCTGCATTTCCAGTGCTCAATAGCCACATGTAGCTGTGTCCACTGTATTGGACAGCACAGTTCTAGATGAATCACAGTTAAAGTATTAACCACAGTTCCATTTAACACCAATTGACTAAGTGCCTACTTTATACTGGCCTTTATGCTAGACATTGAGAATAAAGAGATGATTAGTAGTAATTATAACAATAATTTTTATTTTATTAGTACTACAGTGCATTCATTTATGTCCCAGGTATTGTTTACATTTTTTATAAATTTTAATCATCAAAGCAACCCCATAAGGCAAAAATGAATATCCGCATTTCACACATGAGGAAATTGAGTCTAAGAAACTTGCCAAGTCATACAGCTAGGCAGTGGTGGAGCTGGGACCCAAACTTTGGCAGACTGGTTCCAGCTGCCCCGGAGAAACTTAGAGTCTAATAGGAGACCCAAGAATAAGATCAATAGTATGTGGTAAGAGTAAAGATATGGGTGAGTTCAAGGGAACACAGAGGGGGCAACTAACCCAGGCTGGAGTGATCAGAAACACTTCCTAGAGGAGATAACCCCTGAGCTGAGTTTTGAAGGATGAACTACAGCTGACACATTGTAATTGTACATGCTATGGGATACAATCTGATGTTCTGACACATATATACGTTGTAATTTAATGATAGGGTCAGGGTAGTAAATGTAACCATTGCCTCATAAGTTTATCATTTCTTTGTGGTGAAAACATTCAAAAGCCTCTCTTCCAGTTATTATGTACTATACAAAACTTAACTGTTAATCATGGTCACCCTACTGTGCAATAGAACATCAGAACTTATTCCTCCCATCTAACTGTAATTTTGTACCTATTGTTCTACCTCTTCCTCACTTAGTATATAATATTTTAAGGTTTACCCACATTGTAGCATGCATCAGTACTTCATTCCTGAATAATATGGTATTATATATTTATACCACATTTTTTTTTTATATACACTCATCGCATTTGAGCTGTTTCCACCATTTGGCTGTTGCAAATAGAGCTGCTATAACACTTGTGTATGGGTTTTTGTTTAAACACTTATTTTCAATTCGGGGAAGTATATGCCTAGAAGTGGAATTGCTGGGTCATATGGTAATTGTATGTTCAACTTATTGAGAAAACACCAAACTCTTTTTCACAGAGGCTGCATCATTTTACATTCTCACCAGCAATGTATGAGGGTTCTAATTTCTCCACATCCTTGCTAACACTTTTTATTTTCTGTTTTTTTTTTTTTTTTTTTTTTTTTTTTTTAGCCTTCCTT